ACGAGACAGTGAAATTTGAACCTCTCACCTGCTGATCTAGCAGTAGCCTGCAGTGCTGCATTTAACCACTGCGCCACCTTGGCTCTGGTGCAGTGGTGGATATACAATGTATAATGCACACACTGTACATATGCATGCTTTCCCATATACTGTACAGATGGGTTGAACTGATGCAACAGGGCCAGCCTAACTTGAAGCCGAAATATGATCCAACTGATGCATGTCGGATATACTGAAACAATGACAAAATGTTTGAATGCAAAGCCATATAGCTGGCCCTGATCCCAGTAAGGAAGTCTGTGACCTTAATATGAATGGAGGATGCATCTTATTGCCAATATTAAAAGATGTTTCTCCAAGCCCAGTCAGTTGAAAATGGGGAGATGGGAGTAGTTTGCTCTTCAACTCAGACAAAAAAAAAAAAAATTTTGCAAAGAGAGGTATTGAAAAAAGTACTGCCAGTTTGTTTAGTAGTTGCCTCTTGGAAAAGGATATTTTCTCTTGAGGCAAGTAAAGTTGCATCACTCTTGCAAACAGAACTGTTTCTTCTACATCCTGGACATCCCGGGGAGAAAGCACATCTGAAATGTGTTGATGTATTTTCATAATTGAATAAAAATAGCGAACATTTGTAAGCAAAAACTTGATTTTCATTTTTACAGAGAATAAGAACCTTGTTTCAGCTACTGAGCTGATACCCAAAGCAGATTGGAAATACAAGAAAGGACACACACACAAAAAAGAGAGGCGAGTGAGAACTAGCATGAAGGAGAAAAATATAAAAGAGCAGTCAAGGCGCAGGAAAAGGACAGGTAGTGTGGGGAGAAAGCAGAGAATTGCAGAAGAATCTAAGTGACATGGCAGAAGCAGGGACCATATGACCCACCAGATGGGCTTTTCCAGATAATTCCCAGGTGATGGCCAGAGATGTTTGGGAGCTGGAATCCAACAACTTCAAGAGTGCCATATTTTCCATTTTTGCTCCATGTCACCTCTGGAGATCAGCTGGAAAACTAACTTGCCTTCTCCCTCAGGAGCTGTGGGAAGTATAACATAAGAGGGTTTGGACTGGCTATTTTCAATCACTTCCAATAACAGTTCCCAGGTTTCCTGTGGAAACTGTGTTAGTGTAAATGGTATAAATCTATTGTTTTGATTGTTTGGAAATCAATTATTTTACAGTGTTTGAACATTTGATCAGGTGAAACTGTAGTGCTCCCATCCCACGGTTCCTTATCTGAGGCCGTAACAAGAGCCTCAGTTCAGATTTTAAAAATGCCACCAGATCCAATACAAAGTCTGGAAGCCTCTCTACTTATGGTTGAGAGAATTTTTGGATAGCGTTCAAGAAATAAAATGGAGTTCCCAAATCCCAAATGTGGCTTACCAAAGTCTAACTGAAATAGGATACCTGTGGAGCTCAAGACCCATAACTTAGCTACGATTGTGTGTCTGCTGTTTCATCTGCATTTTGATTTGGTGTGCTGCGCACCTGCTAGTCTCTACCCAACCAGAAGACACAGAAGAAGCCCGAATTATGAATAATGTTAAAAATTCTTATGGGTTCAGGGAAAATTCCTGAGTCTCTAGTATTGCTGGGTGGGAGATATCCATACCAATGGTCTAATTCTCTCCTTCATGCACAGACTCATACACACCCACACACAGAGAGACAAGGTTCTCAACACAGGGATCCCATCATCCATGCTATTGACTGACGGACATCTGCTGGTTGTTCAGCCCCAGTGCTTGGTCCTTCAGTACGGAGTGAAGCGATTGCATCCTCCTCGGTATAAACTGGCCTGCCATAAAGAGAGAAAATGAGCAGGAGAAGTGAGAGCTGCTTTGAAATACGACACAAAGACCACAAAGAAATGGAAGCCATGGAATGCTTCAATGTAATTTCCAAGGAAATACTTTTCCACCTGAACTCAATTTTCCTGCTCCCTGTTAATACCCACTTTTAATGTCCTTCATCAATGTAACACATAATTTCAGACCCAATTTAACATTGTTATCACAGGATTATCAAGGATTAAAGTTGCACTGATGCATTTCCTTATAAGGGAGATGGGAGCTTTGGTTCTAAAAGAATTGAAAAGTATTTTTCCACTAAAGATAATTCAATAGAGAAATCAAGAACCAAAATTTGAATCCTATTACCTGCACAATTTAGCCTAGCATGCACTTGATGAAACAGAAACATTCTCAATGAGTAAGTGAACTATGTAACAAAAATAATTTTTTTTAATATATATATAAAAAATGAGTAAGTGAACACTGCCATCTGCTGGCCATTTTGCAGTAATACAATCATGTCTCATTTGATAAGTGGAGGTTCCTATTATCAGAATTTTCATTGCTAAGCAAGGTGGTTGTTTATGAGTTTCACCTGATTTGAACTTTTTTGGGATGATTAGTAAGCGAGTCACTGCAGTTGGTAAGTGAACTGCGTAATTGTTAAGCAAATACAGTTTTCCCATCTAGTTTACTTGCCAGAAAGTTGCAAATGATGACCACATAACCCCAGCATGTTGAAATCATTGTAAATACATGCAGTTACCAAACTCCTGAACTTTGATATGGGGTGGTGCGATGGCAATTAAGTGCAACAACTGATCATAAATATTTTTTTCAGAACCACTATAATTTCAAATGGTCTCTAAATGAATGGTTGTAAACCAAGAACCATCTATATTAAGATTTTAAAATTTCAAAAATGACCCCAATTCTCACACCCCAAACACACTAAGAGTTGTGGCTTTCAAAAGCCTGAGGGAGATGGATAAAGAATCTTTCATCAATTATATTTCATGGGGGAAAACTATATAACTATAGTTTTACTCTTTTCACATGAATCTGTATTCTTCAGATCAATGAATTCTAATTAACAATGGTTGCAAGACTGTGCCTTTAACTAAACAACCCTTTACTGTTAGTTGTCCTTCTCATTTGCCATTTAAGATCTGGCTATACCAAACATAGTTGATTTAGGAAGCACAGCTCCCTCTCTTAATGTGCAAATGTTTGCTTCTCCAACCAAGGCGGCATGCTGTTCATCTACTTGGCATTTCTATCACTAGGGTCTAAGCAGTACAGATGTTCTTGGCTTAGAGTAGATGATTGGACAGCATGATAATTGATCCTGCCCAGCTATCTTTTCAAGAAGTAGCATACTTGGCCCATTCATTAAGTGACTCACCATGGCACCAACTCCATAGGCAGGGGTTACTGCGTGGTGGTAAGGCTCAGCAGTAGTGTAAACCCGTCCATACCTGCATCAGAGAAAACATCAGTAGTCAAAACCCTAGGCACATGGACCAGATATTGCTTCCTCACTGGGGTAATCAACTTCTTTTCCTAGGAAAAGAAGAACATTAAAATGAGGGGAAAGATTTTATTCATCAATTAGCAGCCTGGTAATTTTGTGGAAAGGACAGTGTTGATAATTCCTGTACCCTTTAAAAATCCTTTACCCTGCAATATGTTTTTCCCCCCTAAATAAATACACAGTTAATGTTAATCCAAGCCTCTACATACCCATCACTGTACGCTGCTGCTGCTGTGGCTGCTGCAGCTGCTGGTGCCTGAGCCACTCTGTATGCTGCAGGATAACCCTAAAATTCAAACAGCAGCTAAAATAAATATTATTTCAACAGTCTATAAAACATCCTGCTACCCCCAACTACCCCCAACCCATCACACTTCCATTTTTGGGAGGAAAGCGGGACTTTATCCACATATCTTTTCCTGCTCAATTTAAGAGAAACTTGAGCTGTCATTCTGCCTAGCTGATTCTGCCTGGAAAAGCTATTTTTCTTTCCACAAAGTTTTTCCCATTTTTACTTATACTTTCAGTTGTATAGTTCCAACAGCCATCCTGTTGTATATTTCCAACTTATCACCCTCTAATGGTATTTTGGGTACTCGGCAACTGGCCTGCATTTACGGCCATTTGCAGAGTTCCAGTCATGTGACTGCAATTTATGACTGTTTTTGGTGGAAACTGTGTTTACTTCTAGTGTCTGGCAAAAAAAAAATCCCCAACTATAACCATAGTAGGGAATTGATTTGCTTAACAACTGTGGCGTTCACTTAACAGCAGTATTCGCATACGACCACAGTGATTCACTTAAAAGATAATAAAATCAGTCGTAAAAAAGGTTTTAAAGACATGTTGACCTGCTTAACAAATAGCATGACTTACAGCTATAATTCCAGGCTCAATTGTGATCTTAAATCAGGGACTACCAGTACCTGTAGTTTGGCCTAACCACCTATCTAGAATTGGTTTATTCAACAGATTAATTAAAATGTGACTGGGTTTCTTATGATGCAGCAGGAATATGCGTAATGTTTCAAAACAGAAAGTTCTATTCTCAAAACAAGGGTTCCAAGCACAAAACAAAACCCAGTGTTTCAAGAGTTCTGTTCAATTTTAGATCAAATTTGAAATAAAAACTAGCTGTGTTGAAGAGATTTGCTTGAGCATTCCAACAATTCTGAATACCTCATCCGGAAAATTGTTCTGTGGTTTGGGACTGGATTGTTTTGGGGGAAAATAATTCCAGTAGAGGGATAGGGATCATTCATGTTGTTGTTGCTATTGGTTTAGATAAGATTGAATAATGTGGTAGTGAAGCAGACATAGCAAATTGTTGTTCTAAAAAAGAATAAAGAAGCAATGTGGCTAGACGGATAAGCTACCTGTGCTTTGCATTGTCTATTTTGCAATAGACAATGCAAAGCTACGGGCATCACATATATATTGCTGCTAAGATTGTATAAATGTGAAGACGGTGACTGGAATGTTGGCTTGGTTGGTTTCTTAAAGTCTAGTATGAACATTCCTGCCATTGTAGCTTCTTAATATTTAGCTTCAAAGTGCATTTAAAAGGTGAAAGCTTTAGTTGGTTTGAAGTTAGTGGAGCTCTGGTATATGTCAATTTCATATTGATTCCTGACTTTTATTTTACAACATTGAGTAGAAAAAAGAACCACTAGCAGGGAAAAGAGCACTGAAGAGCACTAAAGTGATTAGCTGCTTTCTTAGTCTTGCAATCTGTTGGATGAATAATCCAGAGAGTGTCCTCTGTTTACAGTATCCTCTGTCTCTTCCCTCTGATGAGAAGAGAACTTGGACATTTTATGAATGCACTTAGTAGGTTGCATGACTCCTTCCAATGTCTACTCAATATCATGAGTGCAAGAAACATAATAGGCCATGCCTTATCTAAGATGGACAACTTCATTTTAACTTTTTCATTGAAGCATAAATTAGAAAGTGAAGAATATGCATGATGGTGGCATATGCAAAGTCCTTTTGGTCTCAGTGCCCCAAAGATCAGGAGTCTCATCCCTGCATAAGGTTCATGAGTCCTATTACTCCTTTTCTGCTTTGGGATTGTTGGTGCTGGGCACCCATGCAGGACCCTTGGATCATTATTTCCAGAAATACCCGTAGAAGGACTTACGTAGAGGTCAGAACTGTATAGACCATCTGGATACAGCACGCTGGGTGAAAAAAGAAATATCAGTATGCAGCAGAAAATACTTCCCCCTTCAGTGACACCCCTTTCAAATACAAATTACTCGTCTTAAAAACAAGCTTTTAATTATGTTATATAACATACGAGGAGCAAAACATGACCTTGCACATGTGCACAGTGCCCTTCCCTGACCACTTAATAACGAGAAAGAATAAATGTGTATCAGACATGAAAGACTACAGCAAGTTTTCATAGCAGTTGAATCCAGTTTTGAGGTCTCAAGAATAGCTGAATCAGGTATCACATTTTGCAGCCAAATAGTTATTGAAAAAAATGAAGAAAGCAAGAATATATGATGTCTTATCTATTTACTGCACCTCAGTAAATGAGACATAGAGTAGAATTGTAGCGCTGGAAAGGACCTTGGAAATTTTCTAGTCCAGCTCAGAGAAGTTATTTCTGAAGACTTCATTTATTTCCATAGTGACTTGAGTTTTACTAGAGACCAAAATTTCCCCAATCTCAACCTCCACCATAGATGATGGGACTATAATTCCCAGACATTCCTTAGTCAGCAGACCTAACAATGGCGGAAAGGTGGTGGCAAAAAGGTGGGTTTTTTTTTTTTTTTAAATCATCTGACCCAATGGTCACCACTTCATTTTGGAACTTCTGGGAATTTATTATTACAACTTTGTAGCTAGATTACTAGTATTTCTTTTCCTTCCACTTCGTCATTTCTTTTAGTCTAAATATCACCTTTCCAATCTCTCAGTCCAAAATTTGCCATTCTATATTTTAAATATTTCTTCGCAAATATTACTCCAATGTTTCTTTCCTTCCTCATCTAAATTGTTTATTTGCTTGCTTGCGTTCTACCTACCCACCCACCCACCCAGGTTTGTGCCCGATTTAAAAATGATTTATAAGATCTTCAAGTAACATTTATTTATTTGCCATTCAGTAAAGCAAGCACATCTTTCAAGCTTCTGTATGAGACTGGAAAAAGATGCAGCTGCTTTGAAGGTCGTTTTAATGGCTCTGAGAGAGGAGCTGAAGCAGCATGGAAGGGAACTCAAATCCAAAATAAAAACATTATTTCACTTTAATTTATTTTGCTTGAACTATACTTTTATGTTGTCTTATTGTAACCTCTTCAACTTTGATTCTTCCAGATGAGATGCTTTGTCCAATGTTCTGGATGTACAGGGTCTCTGGTTTATTTATTTATTTGATTTTTATTTATTTGTCAAATTTACTTATAGAGTGAATGGGCGACGGGAAGATGCTTTAAGTAGGCATTATTATAGTTTCCTATAAGCCACCATGAGTTCCTCTCTGCTAATGCTCACCTGCCATAGGCTGGAACTGGAGTGGGAGCAGGTGCTGCTCGAATGGGATTATAGATAGTGGCTCGGCCACGCCCTCGCAGAGTCCCACGGTAGGCCAAAGCAGCGGGTGCCATCATGGGGTAAGGGATGCTTGCCACTGAGTTGTAGAAGCAATAAAGACAGAAACAGTGAGAGAAGATGCACATTCCATTACATGAGAGAGGAAGAGAAGTAGAGCTAAGCAGGACAAAGAAAGTGATTGTTTTCTGCTCCAAAAATTTACCAATGGAAGGGGGAGAGCAACTTACAAAGGATGATCCTAAGAAAGCAACTAAAATTAAGTGTGTTTAATGTTTCAACTTTGGGGTAAAAATGCTAGGCTTAATAATTCCAAAAATTTGAGAGGGATGGTCTCCACTTATAACACACTGGGAGGATACGTCAACATCTGATTCGAAACAACAGATTGCTGACAGTATGTTTTCTGTCAACATTTCATTTTTTGTTTTGTAAAATGGGATAACGAAGAAAATGTTTAGAATTTGATCAAATTATGGAAGTTTTTTCTTTTTAAAAAAAATAAACTCTCTTTTAAAAAAATATGGCTAACATTGTTACATAAGTTTTCTCTTAGCCTTAAAGTATTTCTGTGTTGATGTACATACATACATACATACATACATACATACATACATACATACAAGTTTAAAATATATATACATGCAGCTCTTGATTTATCACCATTCATTTAGCCACCGTTCAAAGTTATGCAGGTGCTGAAAAAAATAACTCATGACTGTTGCAGCGTCCTTGTGATCACATGATTGTGACGCATGGGCTTGCTAACTGGCATGTATTTACCATGGTTGCTATGTCCCAGGATCATTTTCAACCTTCCCAGCCAGCTTCAAACAAGCAAAGTCAGTGGGGGAAGTCAGATTTGCAGAGAGCTATCCATATGCATGTATTCACACAACATATATCCCTAACTGGTATGCATTCAAGTCTGTATGTATGTGTATGTGCATTAATTTTATGCCAATGTTGTTTCTTACAATTTGACACATAACACACTAACCTGTATACAGATCAGGAGCATAGACAGCACCAACTACAGGATTGATCTTCCAGCCTGTAAGGACATCCAAGCAAAGAGAAGATCAGGTGAACAAAATCCCTCCTATCTTATTTCTTCTTGCCTTGCCAACCATCCTACACATCTGGCCAATCTCCCAATTCACCAGAACTTACATAACCTTGACTGGACATGCCAAGCTATTTGCACATGTTTTAGAAAGATAGGGACAGCTAGATGAAGTAATTCTGTCTCAGTAGTTGGAGTACTCCAACCCTGAAAACTATTGCAAATCCATGCCAGCAACAGAATGCAAGGGGCAGAAATGATGCCTTTGTGGGTCTTAAAATATTTCTACTCCATTACAAATTGACCTGTTTATTTACTCACTTATTCTGCTAACTTTATATACAATTTCCTGATGGTATATAGTCTTTACAGTTGAAAGTGTTGTAGAGGCATAGAGGAGCTCAGGATCTAAATCACCCTTTTTTAGTCTGGGCATCTTCCAGATACATAGATTTCATCTCCTGGATAGCATTGTCATTATAGGAATTCTGGATCTTCAAGCCCAATATTTGGTTGATGTCAAAGGTAGAGAAGACATACCAATATCCTGGCATAAATTATCGCCAATATCAGAGTTTCTAATTATCAGGAAAAGTTGGGGTAGGAGAAAACAGGATAGTGCTAGCTTTTCAATAGATGAAGGTCCATCTCAGACCTTGAGTGTGACATCAAATGTATTTTATCCCCTCGAACTTTGCAGCAGGTTCCAGACAATTGAAGCCTAAAGCTTTCATGCGGAACCATTCCTACTGTCTGCATGGAGGCTTTTTTATACTTTGCCAAGGCTCTCCTGAAGAACTGGCCAATGGCCAACTCAGTCTGGCAGCACTACTATAACAAAACTAACTGGAAGAGATAAGATGGGTTTCTCCAACTCTTAACCTGATTGCTGAAGTAGAGCATTTTCTGGGATTTACACATTATTCTTGAACAATGAGACTTTTTGAAGCATCTGGACCCAGCAAAGAATGGTTAAAAAACCAAACTGGCTGCATTTGCATAACACATTAAGCCACAAAAAAACTAATCAAGCTGAACAGGTCTACTATACCAGCCCAGTAAAATATGTTGTCTATATTTAGCCATAATGCATAGGAACAAATAAAAAAGACACAGAGCACTGTGTCAGTCAGAACTGGCAGCTTTTTTGTGATTAAAGATATGTATACCATCATCATCATCCTTCCTATGCTCAGAGAATCATGGTTAATGACATCATTGGTTTGGACAGGGCCAAAATTTTCAGTACATTTTTGCAAGGTTTTTGGGCAGTAATGGTGAATGGGTGTGTTAAGACTGAAATGATTAAGGCATGCTTTTGGTGCCTTAACTTCCTCAAAATCAGAATTTATGATTTTGGAGGGAGTGGGGGACCTGAATGGTTTTTGAAGTTAAGCTTCTAAAGTTTATGACATCAATTAATTCCTTAAAACCCCTAAATATCCCAAATGAAAAAAAAGGCAGAAAAGCCATACCCATTCCAAAGTTGAGAGCTTTAGAGTTTAAATTGAAATTAGAGTCCGGGGGAAGACGCAGGCAAATCGCAGAGTGCCTTGCCTTAGCCCCAAGCACTTACTTGTCCTGCTAGGGGTGCCACCCAAAGATGTCATGAAGTCAAAAAAGTGAAAGAGTTGCCTTGAACAAGCTGTCATACTCTAGTGTGAGAACTCTGGACTATTCGTTTTAAAGATGGCATTTGGAAACAAACATATTGCATACCATTCACTAGAGGTGCCACTGGGGGTTTCTTGGTGACTAAACGGGCAGTGGCATTGTTGACCTGCAGGGGAGAAACAAGCAGGAAGTCAGATCACATGTGCAAGATGTAGTTAGTTCTGAAAAGAAAGGCAGGCTAGTATTATAATTTGTCTTATGAATTCACTTTGGGTGAATTCACAAATAAGTCTCTTCAGTGTTCCTTGCATGCAGCATATCCTGCTTTCCTGACTGTTAAGTGTAATATTAAGTTTTCGAAGGGGATTTCTTCAGCAAAGTAGTAAATACCATGTTGAACAAAAATGGGTATGCTGATACATGCTTATATGATACATAGATTAAACTCTCACCTCAATTTTCCTCCCTTCAACAATACTGCTGTTTAGCTTTTCTCGTGCCCGGTCAGCATCTTGGCTGTTTTCAAAGGTGACAAACCCAAAACCCTAAGAGAACAGAAGATTTGTGTCACAGCATTGGAAAATTGACTTACATTGTAAAAGCAATCAGAAGGCTGTGCAATATTCATATTAAATTATAAAAGTTTCCATGTGACCCTGGAAAAAGATGTGGCTGTTTTAAAAAATTGCAGACATGATATCTCTCCTTTGAACAGATACTGTGTCCATGTGGTGGAGGAATAAGTGAAATGTTTTCACTTATTCAATTCAAACATTATTCTGTAATGCACTCTCTACATAGGTTCTCACCAGAAATTATAATTTCCATTCTTTACTAAATATTCTGATTTGTTTTATCTTAAATTATTATCAGATTGATCTGATTTTATATCTTTGACCACAGCCAAACATTGTTTTATAGTTTGCACAGTACATCATATTTACTCTAACCCTTTTAAAATATTTTAGAATAATTATGTTTTCCTTTTTATCCTAGTTGTGATTTTTGTGTCTTATCTGTTAATCTATGATCAAATAAATATTGATTGATTGATTGATTGGCAATATCTCTCTTGAAATATCATTTTGTTTCAAATCCAAGCATTTCAACCCTAGTAATTCTCTCTATTAATCTGGAGGCCAGTCCTGAGATTTTATTGAATTCTGGATTCATGGAGCATGTATTGATTATATTCTACAAATTTTTCCACCATATTTTTGTTTTGCCATCTCTATATGATCAAACCATCATAACAAAAAGATTCATATAGGAAGATATTATATCTGATATTCAGATATTTTTAAAGAATTTTTGCCATTTACAAAATCTGCATTTCATCTTGTCTCCAAATTAAGGTGGATGAAATGTGTCAAGGCAATTTTATCCATCCATCCATCCATCCATCCATCCATCCATCCATCCATCCATCCATCCATCCATCCAATTTATTTGCTTCCCCATTTGTTCAGGGCAACTCTGAATAACTAGCAAAAGTTCTGGCTGTATTAGTAGGATTCCTAAAACTAATGCAACCTTGCGAAGAGGTTGCATTGCTTGCCAAGCTTGACTGACTCTCCCATCAATAAATCCTGAACTTCTTTTCTGCTGATAGGACATAGACAATCCATAGCCCTGCATTGGAAACCCTTCTCCATGCAATACCTTTGAACCACGCTCATTAAAGATGATTTCCACATCGAGGATTTTTCCAAATTGCTAGAAAATAGGAAGAAAATCAATCATTGTCAGAAGCAATCATTGTGCAGCCCTGTTCTTATCAAGAGACTAAATCACAGCCATGTATAGGGTCCAAATTATGTATCAGTGTTTGTTAAAAAAAATATGCTTATTTATTTGGTTTGTTATTCCACCCCAGAACCAATGTTCTTTAGTTAAGAGTGACTAATTCACAACCATATATTGAGGCCCAAATTATTTGTCAATATTTGTTGAAAATATATGCTTGTTTTTTACTCTATCCCAAAACCATATATATTCTTTAGATGGGTTGGTGCTTCCTGATTTCAAGATCTGATCTTTTTTTTTTTTTTTTCATTTTTTACTGAAGAAACCAACGTAAGTGAACAAATTAAGGAACCTAGCACTGACGTCAGGTGAATCTCTTTAGGGATGGAGGAGAACTGACTTACTCCAAACATCTGCCGCAGGTCAGGGTCACGGAAGCGGAAGGGAATGTTGGACACATGTAAGCGCTTTGGCTGAGCTTTATTCTCCTCACTTTCTGCATCCTCTGTCTCAGGAGATAGCTCAGGTGCAGGGACTTCTTCAGCTTGCTATGGAAAGGGGCAGGAGGGGAAGAAAGCAGGATCATACACATCATTGGTCAATTCTCACCATATTCACCAAGAAAGGGATCTTTCAAATATTGTAATTCAGCCATGGGTGAGAAAAGTTGGCTGAACTTGTCTAAGAAGAGGATGAATTCAATTAAAGTTTGAGGCAGTCACAAGGGAAGATGCTGAACTTTGTAATGTGACGACTGCAGTCTATGGAAAGAAACATAGTTGTCATGAGGCAAAAGGAAGACATACAGCAGTATCTCCATGATAAATGTATTGGCATTTATTTATTTATGCCACGCATCTCACTTTGATTATATAGGAGAAACGATAAAGATTAACTTACATATGATGGCAGTAGCCCCTTTCCTCCTCTATAAAACTTGGTAATAATCATCCTACACCATCCTCATATTGAATCTTGAAAACTGTTTTTAAGTTAAGGACTTTTTGAACTAGAATTGTCTTCCTCATATGGAATGACCATTCCAGGGTTTTAGAAAAGGATCCTTGACATTTTTCCCAGTCACACGTCTGAGTATTCAGGATCTAATATTCCAATTCTCTTGAAGGTACCAATTGGACAGAAGATTGCTTTGAGCAAAGTCAAATCTATGAGCCCTTCTGTCAATGCAATGAGGCATTCTTCAGTGGACTTAGCTAAGACAAAAAAGTGCTTAATCCTTTCTATGTTTCCTAGACTACTGATCACATTTGGCTTATGATGTAACAGAAGAAAAATCAGAACAGACTCCTAATTCCTTTTTCGTGTTGTCTCTATTGTTTCCTATTATCTCCATTAATTTTCAAATGGCACAGCATTCATTAAGAAGCTGCAGATAAATGTAAATAATTACATACATATAACTGTAAAAAATAATTCCTAGAATGACATCAGTTAAGAATCCAAGTGGAAGGCTCTAGATTTGACCATTCTCTCAAGTAATTAAACAATGAAATAGTCCATCTGAGACAACATTTCGAGCCCAATAATTTATTAGATGAGCCAATATCCATGCTGGTGCATGGATATCTTCAAACATGAGGGAGTATTTTATCAAGCTTTCAGTTCCTGCAGGTGTAAGTGATGCTAGCCAGGTAGAGGGATATCCTTCCCATAATTATTAATACCTGAATTTGTTTTTGCTAGTTGGGAAGAACTGTATTAAAGGAACAAAGAATTACAACACTCCCATCACTTTCGGTTCTTAGGCCTATTTTTGCCCTTTAAAAACCATCCATAAAGTTGCTAACTTCATGAATGGGGTCATACTAAGAGTTTCCTCATCTATTTATATGACTGCATATTAGTTTTACCTAACAATAATGTCTTTTGAGATCTGAGAAATCCAGAGTTGTTCCTTGTGTGCTGCAAATCCCAATTTCAATATAAAAGCCATTATTTCCCTTTAAAGGGAATGGTGCTTACTTCCTTCCAACCTTTGCCACCCACGCATCCAAAAAAAGAATTCACCAAGAACATATTTCAATGCACCAGCAAACATTCTGTCTTGGGTTAGCGAACAGGACGGACACATGGCAGCACACAGAAAACTGTTAGTTGAGAGAAGCATGACTGACTGAGAGGATGTAATTCATGAGAATGTTGTGGAGAAGATCAGAGAGCCCAGTGGCAGAGAACCACCCCAAACCCACATCTCTTTCTTCTCCATGCAGATGGCCCTTCTTATTCCACAATGCAACTTCCACGATGCAGCATTCTGAGAGCAGACCAAATGTGCACAGCCTATGTGTTGCAATGTCCGAAGTGCTGAAGGATTGGGGGAAGAAGAGAAGAGCTAGAAGAGCAATTAATCTGGCCAGGGGTGGGGAGGAAGTTGAACTTGTCTTCAAAACTCCTGCCGTAAATTAGCCAGGAGAGGGCATGGCCTATAAAGGGCATGCATGATCATCTATGGATGCACCTACCAGAAAAATAACAGGCATGTACAAAAAAGATTTGTGGGGTACATACAACTTCAAACACAGATCTAAATAAACACAATTGGTTGGATTCACATCATGCTAAAGGAGTAAACTATTTTTCAAATGTCCTGATGGCTACCATTAAAGGAGCAAACAAGTTCCCCTTTGAGCAAAACATAATGCACAAACCAGACTAGTTTATTTAAAGCAGTAGTCATATGATCAGCTAGCAATGGCTACAGCATGACAGATTAATTGCAAAACAAGGCTAACTGTTTATGAATGGAGAGATACTGTGCATGGTATGTATATGATAGAAAGTGCATTGAGAATTCAAAGCAGGAGGATATCTGAATGCTTACCTACATGCTTGCAATGCCATCTACCAGTTTGTAGTGAATTAAATTAGCCCCTAGTGTGAAGTACTTTAATTCTTTTGAACAGCCAAATACACTGAGAGAGCTGTGTTTGGCGTACCCTTCCATAGAAGAACACTAGCATGTAGTAAAAGGTAGGATTAACATTGTCTGTAATATCTAAGTGTAGGAACTATTTTATAAGAAGCTGAGTGCTTAGTTATATGAGCCCTTCCTGCCACCTAAAATGATACAAGCCAGAAATAGGTTTGCTGCTCTATCATCTGCTGTCTATACAAACCAAGTCTATTTTAAGTCAAACTATCTGGAACATACATTATTCAGCTGAACTAATTTAATATGTGTTATGCATTTTTAATTTGCATTTGATTATGCCCTTAGGCTGGAAAAATATAGCATCTCCCTTCCCGACATTTTCTAAATTTTCAAATTCTGAAGGCTGCAATTTATTTTTCCAAAAACAGAAGGGCTCAATATGAATCGGAACCTGTGTTTTATTCAGTACCAAACTATGAATTGCACAGCACACAAAAGTAATGTTTTCCACCTTTTAAAGATGAAAAGCTGCTGTGGGAGGTAGTAGCTTTGAGCTGAAGCATAGCAATGAAGTCAGTCTTCTCCAACCTTTTTTCCCCCTGAATTTCCATTCAGAAACATGGCTCTTGAACTACTTTTCCTTGCCCAGAGACTGGGTGAACTCAGTTTCCCTTATGAACTGGGAGGGAATCAGGTTCATATCAATATTCCTTTTCTTTAGTTCTCCCTTTTATTTTTGAGCCCTAACCAGAGTGATAGCCAATGTACAAAACCCTCTGTGAACATGCTTACAGACTTGGGAACAGGACAGTGATTCTGCTCGTCTTAGCACACAACCCCTGTAGTGTTACTATTAAAGCACACGGACACACAACTCTAGCCACTCCCATATGCAGACAACCCCTCCAAGCAGTAGCTATCCCCCTCAGCCCACCAAATCTTCCCCTGTGCCCTCATTCCTTTATTCATCCCAAGGGCAATATACCACGCTAGTTCCCATCATCACACCACCTCCAGGTAGCCAGAAGGATCCCCCAAAGCTACAAAGTCCTGCTTATAAAGACAAGTTCAACAAGGATTAAATTCTTTCCAATGGGGCCCAACATTTGTTGGGAGGATAAAATGCAGAGGGAGTGGTGGGATGGGGGAGGGGATTTCAAGTGTCAGGCTGAGAAGACAGGCAGGTGCAGTTGCGCAGTGAGTAGGTTAACTATTCATGTATTAATGAGACTAGAGCCAAAAAAATGTGATGGAGTCCAAGATGCCTGGAAGAAAACCTGAGCTCGGCAGGAGGTCCGCACACGTTGCCATTAGCACCTCGGAAAAGGCCCTAGTCCAGGAAAGACACAAGGAGTCATTGCAAGGACAGCGTTGCTACAAGCTAGGAGCAGCTCTCGTGTTCCATGAGGAAAAAAGAAAACACACAGGTGAGTTACAACAACACCCTCTATTTGGTCCACCAAGAAAAGTGCATAAAGGATGTATCAGTAACTTAAAGCATATGATGTCCTAAAAACAAAAAATAAAAAAGACTGTAAAACTCATATACAGGGGGGAAAACAGACAGGACTGCTGCTAGTCCAGCTAACACATTCAACATACATTAAGCATTCTAGACATAATTGACATTCAAAATAGTTGGGGGGAAATGGACAAAGAGTCATATTTATCTATAATAAGTACACCTTTAACAGAAGGGATAGTCAACCGTGGATTTTTAAATGCTGCTGTGTTAAATTTCCAAGCACATCACCCAAAACACAGCATGATTCAGCAGTATCTAGGGTGAGGCTGGGGGTTACTCAGAGTCTAATCCCAGGAACATAATCTTGTAGAAGCTAGGAGGTGAAAGTAAAAAGGGGAGTTGCAAGCATATGGCCCAGCAGGATCAAAGCTCATTCTCCCTTGAGGTATTTTGGCATTTACTCAGTGAAAGAAAAACAAAAATCAGAAATTGTCTGGATGTACAAGAGCCAGGTGCTGAATTGGCAAGCAGGGTTGCCAATTTTGAAAAAGTCCCTGCAGTTATCTTTAAAAATAATGTGAATTATAGGAATTAGCTTGTGATTATATGGCTATGAAAAAAATTGTCCTGCTGATTTTTAGAACTTATGTATTACTATTAGAAGCACAAGAAAAGGAGAAGTGATTTGAATCCCCCCTCTCATTTCTTTTCCTCTGGGCAGTTGGCAACCCAATTAGTTTGGATGTTAAGCTATAAGGGCAGAAAGTAAATTAGAGTATGTGAAAGAGGCTTGCATAGCAAAGAAGCTTTGGGCCTGCCCCCTAAGGCAACTTGCTTCTGGACCAGTCAAGGTTTTTAACGTCTGAGCAAAATGGTTCTTTCTACCTAGTTGTCAGGATGCAAAACACCTAAAATTTGAAAAGTGATTTGGCATTTGGGACTGAATCTCTCTCCCTGGCCACGAAATAATGGCAAAAATAGAAACAAATGCCAGCTTAATTTCCATCCTGTTGTAAAACACCACAAATATGCTTGAGTCAATTCTACATTTTGCAAAATGGTAATTAATTTATTAAATGTATTCATTTACTAAATGTTTATGCTGTCCATCTATCTAAAAGAGGTATTATCTTACCCTTGCTTCAGGAGATAGATGCTGGGATATTTTTGAAAAAGCTCCATTATGTTCATTTATTTATTAGTATTTTGTCACCTGGGAGAGGAAAACAAGTGTTGTTTGGACTTCTTGTCTTGGGCATGAAACAGTCTCTGGCCATCTCTGCTTACAATTCATCAGAGGACGTGGTGTCCTTGAAATGAGGCTGTCGGCTATGTGCCACTTGTCCATGCGGAGATAAACAGCTGTTGGTGAAGATGGTGAAAGATTTGGGGCAGGGGGAGGAGGTGAAAGAGATAGAGCAGGGAATCTGATACGGGTGCAGCTGTTGGCCGGAGAAAGGCGTTATTACCCAATATGGTCACCACCAAAGCCACTGCCTCAATAGCTGGATTAGAGAGGAGGGAGGAGGATTCTGTGCCTTGTAAGATGGAAAACTAAGGAGAGATTTCAGGATGCACCCAAATAAGAAATTTTTGGATCCTTTGGACCAAGAATTTCAAGTTTCCTACTCTACTCTAAGCTACTTTCCTATCCCAAGATACTTGCAGGTTAGCATCCAAGGCTTCAGATTTGAAACCTTTCCATTCTGCCCATTTGGAAGACAATTGCCTGATCTTTATACTTCATACTGTTCATTTTTTTCCAGGCCAAAGATAGTATTTGGCCTTAACAGTCAATAATCCCTCCCCACCTCAAGTAACAAGACCAAGAGTTTACTATATTTCTTTTCTAATATTTAATTAAATAAGCAATCAATATACTTACTCTCAAGTTATTATTCCCTGATTTTGCCACTTTCAGTTTGAATGTATTTGGTAAGGCCACACACAAGAATTTCTAGCACTGTACATAGCCCTCAATTTTATTCGTCTGATACATGTGTTATATGCATTGCCAATACTATCTCTCAGGATAGTATTGGTATTAAAGAAAAACCTGAAATTGACCAAATATCAAATTGTCCATCGGTGGACATTTTTATGGTCACAAACAATAAATAAGGCTACATCAGACAATCAGGAAAGGCTACCCGTTTTCAAAGCTCTGTTTAAATTAATATAATTACCCTTAGTACTTTATAAAGAAAGATACATTTGTATAGGTATGCTTGTATGTTTTGTATGTTCTCTGTGTTATTAGTCATCACAAATTATCCACAAATAGATTACGTATTAAGTACCATAAAGTTTTGGCAAACAGGCTTTGACCCTGTTTAAAAAGCCACTATTTAAACCAATATTTAACTTCACTGCTCACTGTTGGCCCAAATAGTTTTCAACAACTATGTGACTTACTGTAATGACAGGGATTTGGGTTTCCATATGTCTCTAATGTTTTGGTTTGTGAAAGGCCATACGACCAAGCCTTGCTGGGGGGGAAACCATTCAGTAGACGTAGTGCTCACAAAACTCAAGATGTAGCCCCCAGTCAAAACACTAGATGATTTCTAAGTAGTTGGGTTGCCAACTGGCCGATAGATTGAGGGAGGAGGGAGGGAATCTGTTACTCTTCAGATAGACTATAATATCCACACTGCTAAAATATCTGGAAAGTACTAGGTTGCCTCACTGAGCTTGTCTCTCTAGCAGAAGTTTGGAATATATATTGATTGGTTTGTCCTGTCTATTAATTACAACAAATTATCTAATTGCCCTTAAGGGATCACCTATGGTTGCAAAATTTTCAGTACTGTATTCAATATATTTTAAAAAGACGTGGGATTCAGCACTGAAAATTGCCAGCAACCAAGTGGTAGGTATGTCATAGAAATGTGAGAGAGTGCAGCAAAACCTGCAGGCTAGGTTTTATCATGCATCAACATCAAAGCATAATGCTTCTCTAGAGAACAAAAGAGTATTGCAGCTTATTTACAGAGAACAAATATATTCTGAAAACTGCTGGAAGTAATGCCTCTACTAACACAGTCAAAAAGCAAACAGACTCAACTCATGGTGACTGTGGAACTTCCTGCTGGGATTTAACTACTTGAGCCATTCCAGAGGGGGAAAACAGAATATTGATACAGATAGCAAAATGTCTCAGGCAAATTCTGTAGCTGTCAGCAAAGTTGATGGGGGAAAAAAACACTGTCAAGACAGTCAGGATTAAGCAGACATACATTGTGAGCATTCACACTGCAGCTTCCCATATACCAAATTTGATACTTTTTCTCTTCTTTCTAGAACTCTGGTATGCACAAAGTATGAGGGCAATGAATCAATGTTCCTGTTTGAGTACAGAGAAACATCCAAACATTCTACGATATAAGGTTGGAAGACACTGGTGCACTATGGAATTCCGGACTCTCTTCAACCATGGCTTAGGAGGAATGGAAGTGATAAGCGATCTAAAGTATTTAGGTTCCTATGACCATAATTCCAAAAATAATAGAAGCATTAGAAAGGAAATGGTATAGGGTGGGATGGTGGGCTGTAGATAGAAAGTAGTTGACAAAATCAAGGATGTATTAGCCTTCATCTGCTCTATTATTTTAAATAATATCTCCTTCTCAGTCCCAAAGAAATCAACTTTACTTCAGCCCTTAAGCTAGCAATCCCTTCCAGTTTCTTTTTGGGAATATTAAAGGGGGGTACTAAACTGTGTTAAAACAAAACAGTCCTCACGGCAAAAATAAATTTGTTTTTGTCAACTACTAAGTAGTTTGCCATTTGTTAACTACAAAGCAGCCCTGAATGAGAAGAAAATATAATGAGTGAAGCCCTTGCATGTTGAGAGTAGGGAGTAGAGAAACAGTAAATACAGTCAGGTTCACAGTTTAAAAAAATAGAACAAAAAGGACCAGAAGCGGATTTTGGAGGGAAGGGACTAGCTTTTATTAGAATAGGAAAAAGAACTAAGAATTGACTGGAAGCCTCTTATAGACTTTTGGTGTAAAAATAGGGGGGGGGGGGGGTGGATGAATTTGTGGATCATGGTTTTGATGATTAGACAGGATATATTATAGAAAGAATATTGTGATATAACTTCAAAGGTTACAATATAATTGTACTTCTAATTATGGTGAAAAATATTAGAAGCCACTTCTATTTTTCAACCTTTTTCTTTTCTTCAACTTTTTGCTTTTTCTTGGCCTTTTCCTTTTTCCTTTACATCATATTAGCTTGTATGTGTTTTTAAAAAGTGTCAATACAAATCATACACAAGAAATATGAAAAGAAAAAAGTGAAGGTTTGAGCTACATTAGGGACTGATGATCTAAGAACTCAGTAAATTTGTTCCATATATTGTATTATGTCTTGTGACTTTGCTTCTTAAACTTCACAAGCATGCACGGAGAGTGAATTACTAGATATTCTACAGAAAGTAAACAACCATTTACATCCAGATGCTCAATAAGATAAATTTTGAAAATCCTGATACACGATAAATTCAAGGCCCTGAATAATTTATCCTGTTTTAGATTAGGTTTAGATGTATTGGGATTAGGATAAGAGAAGATAAAGTTTGCTTGAATGGAAGGGGAACAGAGGAAGCTGATGGACAGCCAGGGTCCAAGGAAAATGCTCAAGCTAGCAAATGGGTGTGGCAATGAAGGTATTAGGGAACAGAGATCCAGATTTTTGCCTAGTCTCAACTAGGATAGTATGGTGGATTACTTTGGGGAAGTGTGTGTGTGTGTGTATCTGTGTGCGCATGCGTATGTCCTCTCTCACACACACTCCAGGATTGTTGTGGTGTGAAAAGTAGGAGGGGATATTATGCATGCCACCTTGAGCTCCTGAATGAAAGGATGGGCACAAAACCAATAAATCAATCCTTGGGAAAAGAGCAATTCCCTGGAATTGGCAAATATGAAGGAAAGGAAAAGGAAATGTGCATGATCCCAGAGGAGTTGGTGATAGAATTGACCAAAATGTACCTAAATCTAAAGGACAGCCTGACCACTACTATTAACTAATTACTGAAATAAGACTTAGCAACATTTACATGCATCAAAAGCTCACAGATACGTAATAGTTATTCCACATTTCTACAAAATGAAAAGTGTAAGAAAAGTGTTTTCTGGCTCTAAAGATGTATCTTTTGACACTTCTGTTCATCTCCAGTCGTCCCCCCACCCCTAGAAATGAGGGTAGTTGCTTGAGATTGAGTTTTTGTCATGGTCAGCAGTGGCTCTTTTCCAATGCTTCAGGCACTTTCATTCAGACTTGGAAATACAAATAGCTGGGGCGTCTAAGGAAGCCCCAAGCATTCCAGGAAGCAAAGTCTTGTATGCCAAATCTTGGGTATGGGGAAACTCTACTTTAATCCACTCTTTAAATGACCCTTACCTTTCAGAAAACCCAGCCATCAAACATGCCACTGTGAATGATGCTATCCCTTTCACGAAGCAGCAGAGAATTTTGATAGCTGGATAGTTAACAAATAGATAACAGGAAAATACAACACATCAGGGTTCAAATACAAAGATGCAGGAAGAGGGTGTGATGGAAATGAGCTAATACCCTTTATAGCTTGTCTTGTTTTCTCTGCCAGAGAGAATATCAGAACCTGTTCTAACAGCAGAATGTTCTTGAGGAATACCTAAGAAATTATCCGTTATTATGCAGGCTAAGTCCTATTGCTGACTTCCACAATTACCCCAAATTACCCCTGCCTTGGCATTTCCCTCATGTGGGCTAGATAACCACTTACGGCAGGAGGTGGAGGCAATGGTAGAGGATCCGATGCAGTTGTACCCTGCTCAGGGAAGATCCGCAGGCTATGATCCAGGGCAGTTGGAGATGGGTACTCAGATGGGGTGGTGTGAAGATGGTATTGTGGGGGGAGTCGGGCCTGGGGCGGTGGATACTGGGCTGGAAACGTCTGAGTCATGGCATCAGTAGGTGGTACTGTAGCATCTGGACTACCCTGCAGGAAGTAAAAGTCAGAAGAAAATAAAGGTGACTGCTGCCCAACCTGTGAATCAAGAGACGCAAAGAAATAATTTTCTGAAGCAGATTCTTGAGAATAAAATATAAAATCCCCCACATCCACTAAACATCAACTACATTAACAGAGAACCCTAAAAAACCCCTCTTCTTTCAAATATATATATTTTTGTCTCTCCAGGGTTTCAAGTTTTTTCTAAGGAATATTATGACAAAGGATCTTCCCTCTATTTTCAAGGATCCTGGAAACTTTAATTTTTGTGTACATATTTTGTGTGTGAAGCTGAATTTCCTGATGCATTGGAAAAGGCAACCAGTTGGGAAACCCTATTGTTAGCCCTTCAAGAGAAGGCAAGTTGAGAAAGACACCAATACTATTATTATAGGATATAATAGCAGAATCTTGAAACCGTGACTGATATAAAAGAGAATTAAGGCAGAGTTGACTTTCTTTCTTACCCCTCTTCCTTCCCACTGCTCAATAGTTGTTTACCTAAAAATCTTGAATTCCTTCAAAATCAACTCTGTCCTCTCCTACAACTTTATTTTTTAGATTTGTAAGCAAAACAATAATTGGAGAGCTGAAGAGATAAGGGTAACATTAGCCATACATCAAATATAAAAGTGAAGTACAGTATAGAATTCCAAGATCTGAATGTATGTATAACCAGAGAATATATCCAAACAATTCACACAAACTACTGTACATGCACATTCAAATCCTGATTTGACTATAAGTGGCAAGTGAAATAAAATGCCCTTACCCTCAGTAATGAAAAAAGCCCTAAATGCATTCTAATTCTCACGATATAACAAGCATCTGGTTGTATAACTAGGACGCCTGTGAAATAGAGTAGAAAAATCCCTACCTAATGCACAAGATTCCCCTCTTCCCTTAGTTTTGCAACCCCTGCGATAAATTGCTTTCCCTTCTATTCCCTCCCTCACGAGAAGACCCAAAGGTCCCAGCTTCCAAAACCTAGGCAGAGGGAAAATTCGGAAAAGTTTTTAGTATTTCACCCACCTACACCAACAGGCCCCATCCCTTGCCACCTCTGCTGCGAATCACTGCTAGGCGCGGAAGGATGCTTGGGGAGGAACACCCACCCATGCAGACGTCCCTTCCTCGGCCCATGCCCCACGACTATAAAGGCATTCCTTGTGTCTTCCCCGCAGCCAATGAGCATGAACCTCAGCACACACAGCTTCTCGGATTGGCTGCTCTCTTATCAGCTCTCCCGCCCACGCTTTCTCTGCTCTTCTTTGGAGCTGCTGTTCCGACTCCTTTGTCTTTCAGCTGTTTGAAAAAAAGCGGTGGGAGGGAGGGGGAATGGAAAGATTTTTTTTTAAACCACTCAGATCAGATTAAGGCGGCCGCCGACAGCTGCATATTTTTTTCTTGGAATTTGCAATTTGTCCTGCGCTTGTTTAGCACCTGTCCCACCTGTCCAAAGGCAGGCGTGGGGATTAATCGGAGCTGGAGTTGGAAAAATGTAAAACTGAGAGATTCTTAGGAGGTGAATTGGTGTCTCAAACAAAAGCAGGCCAAATTGTTTTGCCCAAGGCATCTTTTTAAGACTAGAGAAGTTAATCCAGTGGCTGCTGGATTTTTTGTTCAGCAGTTCCCACCATAACTGGACCTGGCAGTTAGTCATAAGTCATAAAACGGGTCACCCTGTGACCATATCCAATTTTAGGATCGTTTTGGTGGTGCTGTTAAGTAAACACTGTGGTTTTTAAGCAAATCCATTGTTCGCTATAGGGTGGCTGCAAATAATCATAAATGATGAGCACCACCCCAAAAAAAAGTCATGTGATTGAAGGATGATAATGTCAGAACTTTGAAACTGGGTCATAAGTAGTTTTTCAGGAATCTATCATAACTTTGATTGTTAATCATCTGGCCATAAGTTGAGAACTACCTGTACAGGGAACTAGCATTTATACTTATTGCATAGTTACATGAATTATTTTAAGTAGGGCTGCACACTGTATAGCACTTTGACTATTAAAATTCCATTTTTTTTCAGTATTATATGGTCATCTCATATAGCATCCAGGATTTTATGTGTTGATGCTGAGGTATATCTTGTTCAGTGCTCCAACAATTTCAAGAGCTCATGTTGGAATTAATACATGTGGCCACATACAGCCTGAATTTCAGGCTGTGGCAACCAAGTAGATTTTACAAAGATGTATGCTTGAAGAAGACTGGTAAGAATAAAAGTAATTAATTAAAAATTCCTGTACCATATTGAAGTTGATTTTTCAGTCTAGTTACATATTTTTTTGTCAAAAATAGAAACAGATTGGATAGATAGATACAAGAAGAATATGAAGAAATTAAAAGTCTAGTTGTTTTCTGTGTCCTGGGTTGACATAATTGAATGCTAAGAAGAAATGTGTTCCTATAAAAAAAAATAGATGGCAGGAATAAAGTTTTTAATTTTGCCCTAGTCTTTACAAGGGGTTAAATTTAAACATATCATGGTTAAATGACTAAGTTGATTTATGGTATTATTTTTTTATTTACAAGTATAACCTCCACTTCCTAATTTACTTAGGTGAATTGTGAGAATAGGATTTATGGGTAATGGTCTTTGTCTCCTTACCCCTTCAAGAATTATTCTATTTGTGAAATCTCACTTGTTCCCTGAAGAACTACACTGTGCATCGATGTGTACAAACACATATGGTTGCACATACGAGTTTACAAAAGTATGACCAATCAGATTTTATTAAACAGATGCAGAAAGAGTTATTATGTGAGTTCAGTCACTGTGTTCAGCAAAACATAACTGATGTCTTAGCAACTTGTGTGAATATTTAATTATTTAGTCATTTAATGAATATAGCACTGTAAACTGCACAGATTACACACAGTATACAACAATAAAACTGTAGATAAAACTTAGACTAATGGAACAGTAGCTCAGATGATACTCATTCATCATCCTCCCCCAAAAACCTCTACAAATAAGTTCCATTTTCACTAGTTTCATAGGTAATTAAGTATGTATTAACTTGGCCTCCAGAATCAAAGACAGAGACCTCCAAGTGGAAACTTGTAATGGGGTCATATAATTTACTGTGATGCGTGAATCCAGATATTAAGATTTATAAGTAAAGATTTATAACTTAGCACTATGTATGACACTGCAAATTAGCCAACTGTCACTTAAGTGAAATAATAGGTAAACTTTTATTTAAATATTGTATGAGCTCAATCATTAATTGATATTGCCTGAAAGAAAATTCATTGTTATTTTGGTACTAATAACATATAAATAAGTATCATTGTTAATTTTTTGAACATAGTAATTTCATAAAGGTAAAGGTCGCAAATATGTGCTAGTTATTCCTAACTCTAGGGGGCAGTGTTCATCTCCGTTTCAAAGCCAAAGAGCCAGCGCTGTCCGTCTCCATGGTTATATGGCCAGCATGACTAAATGCCAAAGGTGCACAGAACGCTGTTACCTTCCCACCTAAGGTGGTCCCTATTTTTCTATTTGCATTATTTCCATGCTTTCAAACTGCTAGTTTGACAGAAGCTGGGACAAGTAATGGGAGATCACTCCGTTACCCGGTGCTAGGGATTCGAACCGCCGAACTGTTGATCGTTCTGATCGACAAGCTCACTGTCTTAGCCACTGAGCCGCCACATCACTTCTAGTAATTTCATAGGATCAAACAATTATTCTACAGAATAGTCCAGTGTTATATCCAGGCTTTATTCCACAGTATTCAAAGTGGACCAAAACAAAAAGAAATGGGCATATAAATATGCACATACAAAATGGGGAGGCTTTGGATGCAGAGTTGATTCAGCCATCTTGTTTTGATTCCCTGCTCCTGCCCTGATTTTATCTTATTTTTTTAGAAAAATACTTGCAAATGAAACAAGATAAGCTGAAAGTTGTTTTAGAATAGTAAACCAGTATGTTTCTAGTAAATGCCTTCTTATCAGGCCCACTTCATAATATCTCGTTTCAGAAGTACCCACTTTCCAACTCCACATCAGTCTTCATCTATTTCTGTAACTGCAGAAGCACAGGAGTTGACTTTGTTTCCAGATTTGTTTGTCCTTTGACCTATGTTAGCCAGAATTTACTTTCTCTCCCAGTTTTCTATCCCACAAGAAAAAAAACTTAAATTAAAAACTCTTCGCCCCTCAGAAAAAAAAGAAGAAAGAAAGCATTATATGAAAACATCAATTTGCAAGCACAAGTTTGTAAATTTTCTACCCTGGGCAAATACTTTACAATTTAATTAACTTAACATCATACTAAGGAGAATAGGAATGTAGCCAGTGTATGCAAGTGTTTTATAAAGTACATAATTTGTGAAAAGGGATGTCCACAGTGGTAGGTGGGTAAGCAAAATCAAGATGGGTGCATCACAAAAAGAGGTGGGGCTTCCTTTGAATAGTTCCAACTGCCATCTTGTCTTTTCTTAACCCTCACTGAAGATGTCCCTGCTTGAGAAAGAAATAGCTTCATTTTTTTCTCTTTTAATCTGTAATAATAATTTTAAGTTTTTAGAAAGTAATAAGTACTATAAACACAAAAAATCTGACATAAAATTCAAACTGGCCAAGGGATGTACAAAGACTTTGTGAAAGCAACTGATTAATATTCAATATAATCAATATTCTTAATTTACAGGTGATGCACACTTGAAACTGAAAGTAAGGTTCAGCACAAGATAAACCATACTATTGCTTTGCTTTTTTTTTAAAGCTGCAATCTCATTTGCTCCAGGGAAATTTTTAAATATTAGCAACACATTGCAAATGTCCAGAGAATACTCACTAAATCCTAGTCTTACTGTGGTAAAAAATGGAAAACCAAGATAAGCACTTTTAATTTGAATTTCTCTAGTGTCTGAATGAGCATATGGAAACTCAGTCCATAAACTCTAGAAACAGCTGTGTTGAGTGATCTACTTGAGTGTTTTACTCTGTCAGTGTGACAACTGTTTCAAGCACTGAACACACGGTACACATCCCAACCTGTCTGCATGCTATTATCCCTCAAAACTGTATTCCCTAGTTGCTTTCACAATGGGATTTTTATGTAATTAAGCCTTCTACATATTGTGCAGCATTAGAAGCGGATCACTGCTAGGGGAAGATTCTTCTACTTAAATTCGCAGAGAAAATAATGACTTCAAGATTTGAGAGAATTCTTTGTTTTATAAGCTGGTTTTATAAGGTCTAGCTGTGAAATTGACTACAGAGTGGACAAAATGTCAAGTGGGGACAGCAGGGTCATAGACATCTCTGCTTTCTTTTAAAAAATGGTGATTAAAGAGGACTTGATTTCTTAAAAGAGAAAAAAAATCTTGTCTGCTCCGGAATAAACAAAAGATGGTTTGAAATCATAATGACTGACAGTCTATTGAACTCCCAAAGGTGCTTTTTCAGGCGTCATCTTTTTTCTTTGAAGACATTTCGCTTCTCATCCAAGAAGCTTCTTCAGCTCTGACAGGATAGTGGGGAATGGAAGTATTTATAAATGCAAGGAATATAAATCCTTCTATCCCCCACTATCCTGTCAAAGCTGAAGAAGCTTCTTGGATGAAAAGTGAAATTTCAGAGAAAAAAACAAGATTGTCCAGTTGCCTTCTGAAAAAGCACCTTTGGGACAGTCATGACCTGGATCACTGAGAATCTCTACAGACTTTTAGTCTATTGGATTAAAGGCAAATGCTTAGCAGTTGACGTTGCCAACTGTTGTCAAAACAAGTGTTTCCTTCTTTGTCAGAGTTACAAACTGCACCATATTATAAACAAATCATGTCATACTGATTGCTGTGTACTTATTTGAGCAGGAATTCTATTTTAGAAGACTACTGCCCATCTACCAAATATCTGACCCACAAAAATAGTTTCACTGTATAAATCCACCTTCATTTTGGAGTTAGCAATTTGATCTGCTTAAATGTGTATGTGTTTATGTATAATCAAGAAACTCTCACACAAACAGCAGCTGAAGAGAAGCTTAGTCTAATAGGAGGGGTACTTTATGACATCTGTTTTCTAAAAAGGTCTTTCTCCATCCCATGGGGAAACAAAGGGAGAATATAGATATGGATGACATTTGC